AAGGAAAAATGTCCTCAGAGTTGAACTTCTGCTCAGATCAGGGTACAGTGGAACCATTGCATCTACCTAGGAATGCAAGGAATGAGCCCTAACATTGTATGAGTTTTTTTGGCAGCTTCATCCTTTACTGCTTCAAACTGAGCTTCCAGTCCACTGAAACCTTCATATTGGTTTAATGTTTTCACATGAACTGTCCTTGCTTTACTTGTTTGGTTTTTTTTTTTTTTTTTTGGCCTCGCCTTGTGGCATGCGGGATCTTATTAGTTCCCCAACCAGGAATTGCACCCACACACCCTGCAGCAGAAGTGCAGAGTTCTAACCACTGGACCACCATGAAGTCCCTGGTTCATTTTTTAATGTAAGAGACTTGTCACTAGTCCCCTGCCCATAGTTTGATCCCATCAGAAGACAACCAGTGCAGCTGTTTTCTGATTGGTGAAGGTTCTTTTCTTCCTTAGCAGGATCCTTTGGGAAAAAAACCGTTGGAACTTCACACTGGAGAACTCACTGTCCCCTTTGAACCCCTCAGGTAACTTTCCTTGGAACATTTGAAATCTGACTTCCTGAAATCTATAAAAGTTATGTCTGACCATCTTTCTTGAACATTCCAGAAAGTGACAAAACAAAATAGAAACACACTCATAGACACAGAGAACAACGGGTGGTTGCCAGAGGGGACAGGGGTAGGGGAACGGGTGAAATGGGTGGGTGGGATTATGAGGTACAAACTCCTAGTTATAAAAGAAACAAGCCATGGGGATGTAGTGTACAGCATAGGGAATATAGTCAATAATGTAATAACTGTGTATGATGACAGATGGTTACTGGGCTTATCATGGTGATCATTAGATAATGTATAAAAATATCAATCACTATGTTGTACACCTGAAACTAATATAATATTGTATGTCAATTATAATTCAATTAAAAAAAACTTTATAGTAAGTGAAATTGTCAGTAGGGCAAGAATTTACTAGGTGTTCTGCTTCCAGCAGAGGGAGAGTTGGAGGGGGTGCCCTGATGCTGGTTCCTCTGGTACCACCATATCTTGCCTTGGAACAGTTTTGCGACCTGAATTTATTTATTCGGCTGCGCCGTGCAGCATGCAGGGATCTTAGTTTCCCCACCAAGGATCCAACCCGTGTCCCCTGCAGTGGAAGTGCAGAGTCCTAACACTGGACCTCCAGGGCATTCCCTGCAACCTAAATTTAAAAAGCATCATCTATGTCCTCCTTTTATCTTAACATATATTCTGTAACTCCTACCAGGTATTATTTTCCTGTTTGTTTCTTTTTTCATCCTCATCCAAACGCTTCCAGTTTCAGTTTTGTGATTTCCTTTTCAACATATACACTACTTTCTTTCCATGGTCATCCTCCAGTCATGAGTTCTACATCATCTATTTGTCTTCTTGTGTTAAAATTCAAGTTCCTTTCCCATTCTGGTCTTCTCTAATGCAGCACATCCCAGACTTTAGGAGTTTATTAAAATTAATTAATGATAGGGGAAAATCCCTTGAAATTGATGTGTTTGGCAAGCAAGAAATGACATTCCCTCCCACCCCAATCTTAGAATGTCAGTATCTTTTCATTAAAGAACATAGCTTAATCTTGGTAGGGTTAGGGCTTCCCTGGTGGCGCAGTGGTTAAGAATCTGCTTGCCAATGCAGGGGACATAGGTTTGAGCCCTGGTCTGGGAAGATCCCACATGCCACGGAGCAACTAAGCCCGCACGCCACAACTACTGAGCCTGCGCTCTAGAGCCCACGAGCCACAACTACTGAAGCCCACGCGCCTAGAGTCTGTGCTCCGCAACAAGAGAACCCACTGCAATGAGAAGCCCGCGCGCTGCAATGAAGAGTAGCCCCCGCTCTCCACAACTAGAGAAAGCCCGTGCACAGCAACAAAGACCCAATGCAACCAAAAAAAAAAAAAAAAATCTTGGGTTAGAAAGGACATAATTTCAGAATTTAAAAATATTGAAAAAAATTATTTCATCATAGACCAGAAACCCTTTGTCATGGACAAGCTCCAGTCTGCAGACCCGTGTAGGAAACCACTGATGTAATACATGTTTAAGCAGCTTTATTTGGACACTTTTCTCTTTCCTTGAAAATTTTGGGAAGTACATAATGTCCATTTTTTTAGTTACCTTATAATTTATTAGAGGTCCATAAATCTTTTGTCTTAAGTCACAAGCCCTCCTCCAAACTCTGTCCTTGACACTACATCAGTTGTCAGGTGTCAGCCTTGTGCTCTTTCTTTTCCAAAGTCAGACACTTTGCACTGAGGAGATGAAAATATTGTCTGCAACCACACGTCCTTCAGAGTCCTCTTTGTCCCAGGTTTCTTCTGGTTGTATAATTTGTTCTCACATGTATCAACTAAAGGTTGCCTATAACAAACTCTGCATCAGGCCTCAGAACACACTGGAGGAAGGAGCATCATTAGCAAGGTCAGGTCTGCAGAGGGCTCCTCCTACCCCATTAAGAGTCACCAACCAGGAGAATGTGGTCTTGTCTTCCTGGGTTGGGGGAAGCCTCTGTGCATCTGTTGGCATCAATGAATCCTTAGTATTCTGTCTAGGAATTCATTATTCTCGCAAGTGCCAAGCTGAGCTTGTCTTTCCTTCTCAACCCTAGTGAAGAGTGATGTTTAGTAGGATAAAGGCAAAGGCTTTTCTAGTATAACAATGCTGAGCTTATGCTATGAAAAACAGTCAACATGAGCAAATGAAGAAATGGTTCATCTTGAGCTATTTCACCTGGATGGGGTTGGGACGGACCCTCAAAATCTCAAGCATCTCACTTGCTTCCTCCAGATAGACCAGGACCCTGGGGGAGGGGGTGAAGATCAGAGAAAAAGGACCCTCCAGACCCCATCTAAGAAGGACTTGGTGTGAACTGACAGGTCACATGATGAGAAAAGTGATGTTTTGCACCATTCATTGGACACTGTTATCAGCCAGTAGGATTCTTTTCTGTCTGCTCACAAACTATACCTGCAGCTGTGAGATTTCAGTGTGACATGCCAGAGTGGACAGAGGTATTCATCAAGATTTCACCACCCTTTTGGCAATGAAGCCAGACTGCATTTTTAGCACACATATTTCAGTGTCTATCTCCTGAAGAGGAAGTTATATTTAGCACATTTCCTGCTAGCCACTGAACAGTGCAAGACCTTCTGGGTCTGGAGTTAGTCACAGCCCTTTATGTCTATCTGTGGAATCCCTCCTTGTAAACTGCTAGGCCTTTGAGGAGCCCGAGTTTATAGCATGAACTGTTACCATAAATCCTTAGAACCCACCAGGAAAGGTGCTGATTGGGTAGTATGTTCATAGCGACTTCTTAGTCCCAGCCCTGGGAACATTAGGAATGCCCCAGTCAGATGGAGTGTGTGTGTGTGTGTGCGCGTGTGTATGCGTGTGCACATGCTTGCATGCATCCATGTGTTTGGGCATGGTAGTGTAAATAGGGCACTCTGGGTGACCTTCAGACTTTTTAAAAAAAATTTTATTGGAGTATAGTTGATTTACAATGTTGTGTTAGTTTTAGGTGTACAGCAAAGTGACTCAGTTATACATATACATGTATCCACTCTTCTTTAGATTCTTTTCCCATGTAGGTCATTACAGAGTACTGAGTAGAGTTCCCTGTGCTATACAGTAGGTCCTTATTAGTTATCTATTTTGTATATAGTAGTGCGTATATGTCAGTCCCAATCTCTCAATTTATCCCTCTTCCTTTCCCCCCGGTAACCATAAGTTTGTTCTCTACATCTGTAACTCTATTTCTGTTTTGTAAATATGTTCATTTGTACCCTTAGACTCTTCTTGTACCTACTCCTGAGGAATGTGTTTGCATTGCGTTGGTTTTGGGAAAATCAGATCAGCATGTTATGCAGCCTCCCAAAGAGAGGAGCGAACAGGAGATGAACTTTCAGGGCCATAGGCCCTACTTTTCCACATGGATCTTCTGGGTCAAGGGTCAGAGACACAGGGTCCCTTAGACCAGTACCTGCAGACAGGGGGCCTCAGAATCTTCTAGGGAATGTGTTTAAATGCAGATGTCATGGTCAAACTCCACCCAGGTATACTGAATCAAACTCTGGAGTATACAGCTGAGGAATTTATATTTAAAAAAATACCCTAGATTGTTTTGTGATGTGAGTGGGTTTGCTGACTACTGCCTTACTTGGCCCTTCCTGCAAGGGGATGGTAGCAGCACTCAGCGTTGGCATCAAGTCTTTTTGATTTTACCTCCTAAACATTTCTTGCATCTTCTCTGCATGTCCACTAATCACTGGCCAAGTCCAAGCTACCAGCATCACTGGCCTGGACCACTCAGTGGCCTCAAAGTTTCCCCTGCAGGGACTCATATCCCTCCAATGGGTACTCAACACAGCAGCCAGAGTGGTCATTTCCAGTCTCAAGTCAGATTCTGTCACACTCCCCACCCTACCCTGACCCCCACTCCAGTTATTATTTTTTTCTTTTTCCTTTATTTTTTCCTTTTTCCTTTGGCTGCACCACACAGCATGTGGGATCTTAGTTCCCTGACCTGGGATCAAACCTGTGCCCCTGCAGTGGAAGCATGAAGTCTTAACCACTGGACCGCCCGGGAAGTCCCGCTCCAGGTCTTTCTTTCCATTGCTTTTAGGATGAACACGACATTCTTCTCACAGCCAGAGGACCTGCAGGACTGGATCCGCACCCTACCTCATTTCACAGCCATTGTTCCTGCTAATAGGTCTCTCCACAGACCTGCCCCCCCACTCCTTTCACCTGCTCTTCCTTCAGGCTCAGCTGTCATCACTTCCCCAGGGACGCCTTCCCAACCTCTCAAGGGCTGCACTTTTCAGTTGCAATTTTTTACTAATTGATGTAATAATCTGATTAAACACGAGTCTTCATGTAGAATGTAATTTCCCATGGAGGCAGGGACCACATTTCTTCACTGTCACAGCCCTAGTGCTTGACTCTAAATACCTGTCCTCAGGACTTCCCTGGTGGTCCAGTGGTTAGGACTTGGCACTCTCACTGCCGGGACCCCAGGTTCGATACCTGGTTGGGGCACTAAGATCCCATAAACTGAGTGGCAAGGCCAAAACAAAAACAAAAACCTGCCCTTGCCTCCATATGGCAGGTGTTGGCCATCAAGCAATCTTCAGTCAGAGAATATGCAGGGTCCTCAGATAGACCAGAGCTTTGCAATTATACCCAGGAGTTCCATTCATTTGTTCACTCATTCATTCATGATGACAAATGTAGGATTAAGTGCCATTTTGAGCTGTTAAATTCTGGGCCTAGCTGGAGTCACCCAGCACAGCAGGCACTGCTGGTAATGATTTGAACATGTCTGAACACTTGGCATGCCTCACTTCCCTTGGCTCAATCAAAATAAACATCTACTGAACATGAACTAGGTGCCAGACGTGCCCCTTGTCCTTAAGCAGCTTGTGATCTAGGGAAGAAAGACAGACACGAAACAAGTGACTACAAGTTTATGAGTTTTACCAAGGGGCATTCGAGTGTGCCATGGAGACACAGAAGAGGGGGTGCGAGTCTAGTCTAGGGGTTTAGGGGAAAGCTTCCCTGCAGAAGGAATATTTCAGCTGAGGGTGAGGGTGAGCAGGAGTTAGAATAGGCCCTAGGGAGCAGTCCAGGTGAAGGCCAAGGTGAACTTCAGATGATAGGGCTATTTAATGAGCAGTAGGGAACACCCAGTTCAGCCTAATTCTCCTCCTGTGAGTTGGGGCTTGGCCCATCCAGCCCTTATCCATCCTCTTAAGGGGCAGATGCTGCACTAAACGGGAGAGGGAGTCGAGTGGCCTGTGCGTGGGTACCTCTCGGGGCCCCCTCCTCTGACTCAGGCAGCACAGGAGCTGTTGTGAATTCAGCACCACTCTTGTTGGAGCAATATTAAACATCATTACCAAAGGCAGTTTTGACTCATTTATTTATTAATATAGAAAAGGAGCCCAAGGCAGCTGGACCAGTAGTACAAAGCACCAGGAGTTAATACTATTCTGGTGAAAGGGTTGGCTTTACAAAAGTGAAGGAGTAGGTGAGAACTGCCCTGGTTCTGGGGCCAGGCCCAGCCTACTGCCCAGAACCTCGGAGCAGCACCTGGAACCAGCCGCTGGGAGAGAGTGACGGGGGGTCGGGGGCTGAGGAGCTGGACACCAGAAGGACAGGTGGCAGGGATGGAGGGCCAGGCAGTGAGAACCATCCTGTGGCTGATGAGGACAGGCAACTGCCGGCTGGAGGCTCCCCACTGGCCCCTGGGCAGAGGCTCACGTGAGCCTCAGCTCCGGGGGCAGGTAGAAAAACCCTGCAGATACTAGAGAGGATGGGGATCCAGACACAGCTCAGGGTTGAAGGGCCTTTCCCTTCTCTCCACCAGGGGCCACCTTTCTCAACACTATGGGTGGGGCTTCAGGGCCCAAGGCACAGAGGGAGGCCCATAGGCCTCCCAGCGGGAGGAAGAGGGGGCAGGAAGGAAGCACTTGAGTGTTCCCAGCTTAGGCAGCTGGGGCTGAGACACAGGGCAGGCAAACAGCACCCCCGTACAATGAGGCTGGAACACAGGGCTGGGTTAGGCTTATCCTCAGCCAGGACCAGCCCCATGGCAACGGTGCTTGCCTCAAACCTTAGCAAACAGAGTCTGCCGTGAGCACTGGCTCTCAGCAGACCCGGGTGCCAGCCCTAGCTCTCCTGGAGCAGAGCTGTCTCACCATGGACCAGCCATGCCCTGCCCTGCCCTGGGCCTCCTCTGTTAATGAGGGCTTTGGATATGACCTCTCAGGTCACGGGAGCTGCAGGACCTGCTCTTGGTACTTAAGTGGGAACCAGTCCCAACCAGACTCCGGACAGAACTGGCATGGGCCGGGGGGCCGGGGGGCCGGGGGTGATGGGGGAGGAAGATGTTCCTGCACGGAACCTACCCCACACACACTCCAGAGCCAGGAAAGGCCACTGAGAGCCTCTCCTTCGCCCAGGGGAGGTGGCCGCCCTCCCTTTGGCACAGGGGGGACGCAGCTTGGTGTGACCCTTCATAACCACACCTGGGTAACACTCGGCATGGAGAGAGTGGGGTGGCACTCTGCAAGCCTTTATGCTCTTCCCTGGGGTGGGGAGCTCAAGGCCACTTGTGGCTTTTGCCTCTGGCCCTTAGCGTAGAGAGGAGTGCTCTCCTTCTGTGGCCCTGCCCTGGGGGCAGCCCGAGACTCTGCCTGGCTGGCACATGTTAGTTGGTCAGGGAAGGACAGAGGGGTAAGTAAGGAGACGGGGGTGAGAGTGGCTCTCTGGCTTCTCCTCGCCCTCTAGGGAGAGCAGCTCAATCAACCGAGTCGCAGATCTCCTCCACCACTGCGTTGAAGACGTGTGGCTGGTCCGCGTACACGTGGTGTGAGGCGCCCTCGATCTCCTGTGGATGGAGGACCCCACCAGGGGCGGGACAGCCCTTTATTCAAGGCACTGGAAAGCTATTGCACCATTTCTTTTTCCCTTAAGCCTGCTTGCCCGTCGCCCATGAGCACTTATTTTATCTAAGACAACAGTCCACCTTTCTCCCCAGATCTCGGCACTTCCCTGCGGGAGTCAGTGAATCCCAATATCCCATCCTTACTTCTCCTATGGTGCCTGATTTTATCTATCCTTCCATGCCAGCCCCTCCAGCGACCTGCTCATGTCATCCACGTGTCCACTAAAGCAGGGCCCATCAGGCACTAGCCTAATTAAGCATACTCATTAGCAAATGAGGGCGGGGGGGTGGCCGGAGGAGTGTGGTGGGAAGGCTTCATGGCAGCCTCTACAGTTCCCAGCTCTGGTTTGGGGTGGGAATTACAGGGGGTGGAGGGACAGCGTGGTGCCTGTGCCTGACTATTGGACAAGAATCTGGCTTTCAGCTGAACTGAGCTACACAGAAGTGAGAAGCCCCTAATTATGATTTTACAGAGAGCCAACTCTTTCAAATCCACGGCCGTGGCTCAACCTGTCCACTCTTCTTTCCCCCCGACTCTCCCATCACCCTTCGCTACCCTGACTCAGCTACTCTGGGTCAGTCAACATGTGCTGGGATGTTGCAGTGTTTCCACCTCAATCCTGCTCCTCCAGTGGCCAACGTACCACGTCTCGGACGTAGGAATCCGGCCGCTGCAGCTTCACCTTTTTTCCCGTGCTGGTGTCTATCCAGGTGTTGGCCCCATAGATCATGGTGATGGGCATTTCTTTTTGAATCAAGTGAATTCGCTCTAACATGGGTCGCCGGGCCCAGCCAAAGGACTCCATCATGGTTTTGAATGCCGTCTCCCCGCTGAAGAAGCAAAACAGGGTGAGGCAATGAATAAACGCCATAGCCTAAGATGTCAGTTTGTTGATCTCAGAGGCTGGGGCAGTATCTTTGTCATTCTTTGTGGTCCTCTCAGAGCCCAGCACTGGGCTCATTAAATATTAGGAAGATTAGGAGACAGGACTGAATCTCCAGAGGCTCCTATCACAGATGAGTTAGGAGGGACACACTTGTGAAAACCCCATGGCACTGAGAATTATCCAAGAGCCTAATAGGTTACTATTTATTCAACAAATATTTATGTGGCGTCCCGGAGCTGAGGGTGGGGACGTATGAACAAGACAGACGCAGTGCCTGCCCTCCTGGAGCTCACATTTTCTTCATACTTTAGGCATAAATAATGAATTATACGATCAACTTAACTTCAAATTTCCCAAGAATTAAAGGGTGGCGGACTTCTAGGAGAACACAGACTAGGGACTTGGCTTCCTGGAGCTGAAGGAGAGGGTCAGGGGGTTCACTTGGGGTGGGCTCTGATGAGCAAGTACTACAGAAGCACAAAGGGCTTGCTGAGGAGAATGGAATGAAACGTCAGTCTTGTGAGGACCTGGGGGGAGCAGCAGTTTGTGCGACTTGAGAAGCAATGACGGCCAATCTAATCTCCTTTGCTCCCTGGCCATTTCCTTAGGGACAGCTAACGGAGGCTGTGTCATGAGGGGTCTGCAAGGCTGGGGCAGAAGCCAGCTGTCCAGGTTGCTCTCCTGGGAAGCAGGAGAGGCTGGGGACACTGCCGCCCAGCAGGCTCAGCCTGTTTGGGAATTATATCCCCAGTCTCCTTTGCACCCCTGAGATGAAAGAGAGCCTGGGTTCTGCACAGGCCACCAGAAACAGGGTTCCTCCTTAAGACAGTGCAGCATAGTGGAAAAATCATGGACTCTGGAGTCAGAGAGACATGAGTTCAAATCCTGGCTGTAGTTTCTAAGCAAGTCATGTAAATAAGAATACACCTTAATTTTCTCATTTACAAGCTGGGAGGAATTATACCCACTTTATTAGGTCATTGTGAAGAAAATGAAAATATGTACAAAGCCCCTAAATTTAGGTGAAGCAAAGTAGGTACCCCATCCCCCAAATATTATTCTTTGGCCAAATCATATGTTTTCCAAGGGAATGGTAAGAGCTCATGAGGGTTACAATTCAGAAAGACTCAGGGGCTTATAAAATTGAGTGATGGGGTTTGGGGGAAGGGGCTGGTTATCACCGATGTCATCTCTGCTTCTTCTAGGACCTGAATCAGGTGTGTGATTATGTACTCTGTGGCTTAGATTGGGAGGCCATTCATTATACGGAACTAGGTCTGGGACTGGGGAATGCTCTGAGGAAAGGGCTAGGGGTGGGCCTGCAGGGTCTCAGAGAGTATGAGACTGGCACTGAGCCCACTGGGGGCTGAGAGGAGTCAAGAGCAGGAAGCAGTGGGCTTCCTGATTTGACTGTTGAGCTGAGTTTCTATACTGCTGTTTAAGCAGGGCCCTTCAATCAGCTGGGCTCCTGAGGAATGTTGGATGAACAGTTCCCACGCTGCCTAAAAGCTGTCTGGGTTTGACGCTAATGCTCAGACAGCACTGCTGGAATGCAAAACCCCAGCTGCTTCACAGCTTTGGGCTGAACAGTCCTGAAATGAGGCAGGGCAGTGCTGCTGCTCCCAATGACCTTGGCTCCCCTGAGATGCCTCCCAGTAGTGTGGGGTGAGGCCCCCACAGAGCTGGTGCTTCATGGTATCAGCCACTCACATGGCACTGCCTGAGGGGAAGACTACCTCCCTGACTCTGCCCTGGATGGCAGTTGTCAAGACTGTAGATCAGCAGGCTTCTGGGGCCTATGTCTGAGTTGTCATAGATATAAACTTCTAGAGATTCTGCGGACATCCCCAAACCCCCCAAAGATAGGGAAGGCATTCCTATCCTGACAGTAAGTATTTCAAGGTGCACATAATTAAATTTTTAAATGCATAATCTTTCCATCAGCAGTTCTATTTGTAGGAATGTAGTTTAGAGATAGTCACATGTGTGCAAAGGAAGATATGTAAGGAGGTTCCCTGAAGCAATGTCACATGATATCTCAAACCTAAACTAACAAGAAGATTCAGGAATTACAGGTCTGGGACAGGAGAAGACTTTCTTATTTTTTTTTCTTTATAAAAATACCATGTTCAGAGAAGGAAGAAGAACTACAATCCTGCAGCCTGTGGAACAGAAACCACATTCACAGAAAGATAGACAAGATGAAAAGGCAGAGGGCTATGTACCAGATGAAGGAACAAGATACAACCCCAGAAAAACAAGTAAATGAAGTGGAGATAGGCAACCTTCCAGAAAAAGAATTAAGAATAATGATAGTGAAGATGATCCAGGACCTCGGAAAAAGAATGGAGGCAAAGATCGAGAAGATGCAAGAAATGTTTAACAAAGACCTAGAAGAATTAAAGAGCAAACAAACAGAGATGAACAATACAATAACTGAAATGAAAACTATACTAGAAGGAATCAATAGCAGAATAACTGAGGCAGAAGAACGGATAAGTGACCTGGAAGACAGAATGGTGGAATTCACTGCTGCGGAACAGAATAAAGAAAAGAGAATGAAAAGAAATGAAGACAGCCTAAGAGACCTCTGGGACAACATTAAATGCAACAATATTCGCATTATAGGGGTCCCAGAAGGAGAAGAGAGAGAGGAAGGACGAGAGAAAATATCTGCAGAGTTTATAGTTGAAAACTTCCCTAACATGGGAAAGGAAATAGCCACCCAGGTCCAGGAAGTGCAGAGCCCCATACAGGATACACCCAAGGAGAAACACACCAAGACACATAGTAATCAAATTGGCAAAAATTAAAGACAAAGAAAAATTGAAAGCAGCAAGGGAAAAATGACAAATAACATACAAGGGAACTCCCATAAGGTTAACAGCTGATTTCTCAGCAGAAACTCCAAGCCAGAAGGGAATGGCATGATATACTTAAAGTGATGAAAGGGAAGAACCTACAACCAAGATTACTCTACCCAGCAAGGATCTCATTCAGATTCAATGGAGAAATCAAAAGCTTTACAGACAAGCAAAAGCTAAGAGAATTCAGCACCACCAAACCAGCTCTACAACAAATGCTAAAGGAACTTCTCTAAGTGGGAAACACAAGAGAAGAAAAGGACCTACAAAAACAAACCCAAAACAATTAAGAAAATGGTCATAGGAACATACATATCGATAATTACCTTAAACGTGAATGGATTAAATGCTCCAACCAAAAGACACAGGCTTGCTGAATGGATACAAAAACAAGACCCATATATATGCTGTCTACAAGAGACCCACTTCAGACCTAGGGACACATACAGACTGAAAGTGAGGGGATGGAAAAAGATATTCCATGCAAATGGAAAAAAAAAGAAAGCTGGAGTAGCAATACTCATATCAGATAAAATAGACTTTAAAATAAAGAATGCTACAAGAGACAAGGAAGGACACTACATAATGATAAAGGGATCAATCCAAGAAGAAGATATAACAATTATATATACACCCAACATAGGAGCACCTCAATACATAAGGCAACTGCTAACAGCTGTAAAAGAGGAAATTGACAGTAACACAGTAATAGTGGGGGACTTTAACACCTCACTTACACCAATGAACAGATCATCCAAAATGAAAATAAATAAGGAAAAACAAGCTTTCAACGACACAACAGACCAGATAGATTTAATTGATATTTATAGGACATTCCATCCAAAACCAGCAGATTACACTTTCTTCTCGTGCGCATGGAACATTCTCCAGGATAGATCACATCTTGGGTCACAAATCAAGCCTCAGTAAATTTAAGAAAATTGAAATCATATCAAGCATCTTTTCTGACAAAAACGCTATGAGATTAGAAATGAATTACAGGGGAAAAAATGTAAAAAACACAAACACATGGAGGCTAAACACTATTTTACTAAATAATCAAGAGATCACTGAAGAAATCAGAGAGGAAGTCAAAAAATACCTAGAGACAAATGACAATGAAAACATGACAATCCAAAACCTTTGGGATGCAGCAAAAACAGTTCTAAGAGGGAAGTTTATAGCTATACAAGCCTACCTCAAGAAACAAGAAAAACCTCAAATAAACAATCTAACCTTACACCTAAAGGAACTAGAGGAAGAAAAACAAACAAAACCCAAAGTTAGCAGAAGGAAAGAAATCATAAAGATCAGAGCAGAAATAAATAGAAACAAAGAAAACAACAGCAAAGATCAATAAAACTAAAAGCTGGTTCTTTGAGAAGATAAACAAAATTGATAAACCATTAGCAAGACTCATCAAGAAAAAGAGGGAGGGCTTCCCTGGTGGCGCAGTGGTTGAGAGTCCGCCTGCCGATGCAGGGGACACGGGTTCGTGCCCTGGTCCGGGAGGATCCCACATGCCATGGAGCAGCTGGGCCTGTGAGCCATGGCTGCTGGGCCTCCGCGTCCGGAGCCTATGCTCGGCAACGGGAGAGGCCACAACAGTGAGAGGCCCGCATACCGCAAACACAAAAACAAAAACAAAAACAAAACAAAACAAAAAATGAAAAAGAGGGAGAGGACTCAAATCAATAAAATTAGAAATGAAAAAGAAGAAGTTACAACAGACACGGCAGAAATACAGGCCATCCTAAGAGACTACTACCAGCAACTCTATGCCAATAAAATGGACAACCTGGAAGAAATGAACAAATTCTTAAAAAGGTATAACCTTCCAAGACTGAACCAGGAAGAAATAGAAAATATGAACAGACCAATCACAAGTAATGAAGTTGACACTGTGATTAAAAATCTTCCAACAAACAAAAGTCCAGGACCAGATGGCTTCACAGGTGAATTCTATCAAAAATTTAGAGAAGAGCTAACACCCATCCTTCTCAAACTCTTCCAAAAAATTGCGGAGGAAGGAACACTCCCAAACTCATTCCATGAGGCCACCATCACCCTGATACCAAAACCAGACAAAGGTACTACAAAAAAAGAAAATTACAGACCAATATCACTGATGAATATAGATGCAAAAATCCTCAACAAAATACTAGCAAACAGAATCCAACAACACATTAAAAGGATCATACACCATGATCAAGTGGGATTTATCCCAGGAATGCAAGGATTCTTCAATATATGCAAATCAATCAATATGATACATCATATTAACAAACTGAAGAATAAAAGCCATATGATCATCTTAATAGATGCAGAAAAAGCTTTTGACAAAATTCAACACCCATTTATGATAAAAACTCTACAGAAAGTGGGCATAGAGGGAACCTACCTCAACATAATAAAGGCCATATATGACAAACCCACAGCAAACATCATTATCAATGGTGAAAACCAGAAAGCATTTCCTCTAAGATCAGGAACAAGACAAGGATGTCCTCTCTCACCGCTATTATTCAACATAGTTTTGGAAGTCCTAGCCATGGCAATCAGAGAAGAAAAAGAAATAAAAAGAATACAAACTGGAAAAGAAGTAAAACTGTCACTGTTTGCAGATGACATAATACTATACATAGAGAATCCTAAAGATGCCACCAGAAAACTACTAGAGCTAATCATTGAATTTGGTAAAGTTGCAGGATACAAAATTAATGCACAGAAATCTTTTGCATTCCTATACACTAATGATGAAAAATCTGAAAGAGAAATTAAGGCAACACTCCCATTTACCACTGCAACAAAAAGAATAAAATACCTAGGAATAAACCTAGGGAGACAAAAGACCTGTATGCAGAAAACTATAAGACACTGATGAAAGAAATTAAAGATGATACCAACAGATGGAGAGATATACCATGTTCTTGGATTAGAAGAATCAATATTGTGAAAATGACTATACTACCCAAAGCAATCTACAGATTCAATGCAATCCCTATCAAATTACCAATGGCATTTTTTATGAACTAGAACAAAAAAATCTTAAAATTTGTATGGAGACACAAAAGACTCTGAATAGCCAAAGCAATCTTGAGGGAAGAAAACGGAGCTGGAGGAATCAGATTCCCTGACTTCAGACTATACTACAAAGCTACAGTAATCAGGACAATATGGTACTGGCACAAAAACAGAAACATAGATCAATGGAACAAGATAGAAAGCCCAGAGGTAAACCCACGTACCTATGGTCAACTAATCTATGACAAAGGAGGCAAGGATATACAATGGAGAAAAGACAGTCTCTTCAACGAGTGGTGCTGGGAAAACTGGACAGCTACATGTAAAAGAATGAAATTAGAACACTCCCTAACACCATACACAAAAATAAACTCAAAATGGATTAGAGACCTAAATGTAAGACTGGACACTATAAAACCCTAGAGGAAAACATAGGAAGAACACTCCTTGACATAAATCACAGCAAGATCTTTTTTGATCCACCTCCTAGAGTAATGGAAATGAAAACAAAAATAAACAAATGGGACCTAATGAAACTTAAAAGCTTTTGCACAGTAAAGGAAACCATAAACAAGACAAAAAGACAACCCTCAGGATGGGAGAAAATATTTGCAAATGAATCAGTGGACAAAGGATTAATCTCCAAAATATATAAACAGCTCATGCACTCAATATTAAAACAACAAACAACCCAATCCAAAAATGGGAGGAAGACCTAGATAGACATTTCTCCAAAGAAGACATACAGATGGCCAAGAATCACATGACAAGCTGCTCAACATCACTAATGATTAGAGAAATGCAAATCAAAACTACAATGAGGTATCACCTCACACCAGTTAGAATGGGCTTCATCAGAAAATCTACAAACAACAAATGCTGGAGAGGGTGTGGAGAAAAGGGAACCCTCTTGCACTTGGAATGTAAACTGATACAGCCACTATGGAGAACAGTATGGAGGTTCCTTAAAAAACTAAAAATAGAATTACCGTATGATCCAGCAATCCCACTACTGGGCATATACCCAGAGAAAACCACAATTCAAAAAGACACATGTATCCCACTGTTCACTGCAGCACTATTTACAATAGCCAGGTCATGGAAGCAATCTAAATGCCCATCAACAGACGAATGGATAAAGAAGTTGTGGTACATATATACAATGGAATATTACTCAGCCATAAAAAGGAACGAAATTGGATCATTTGTTGAGATGTGGTTGGATCCAGAGACTGTCCTACAGAGTAAAGTAAGTCAGAAAGAGAAAAACAAATATCGTGTATTAACACGTATATGTGGAACCTAGAAAAACAGTACAGATGAACTGGTTTGCAGGGCAGAAGTAGAGACACAGATGTAGAGGAGAAACCTATGGACACCAAGGGGGGAAAGCCGTGGGGGGGCGGGGGGTGTGTGATGAATTGGGCAATTGGGATTGACATGTATACACTGATGTGTATAAAATGGATGACTAATAAGGACCTGATATATAAAAAAATAAATAAAATAAAAAAAAAATACCATGTTCATATCACTTTTTCAGTTAAAAAAAAAAAAGATCTTTGCAAATGTTTTCCAGTCTTTTTGCCTGTCAGGCTAACTGCCTATCTCCAGGGAAGAGTAAGGATCCTTCTCTAGAGATGGGCGGCATGTTTAATTAATCTGTTATCTTCTCCATCCCTTTGTGCCTATCCCTGGGAAAGTCTCTGGAAACCATCAAGCCTGCTAATGCCTATGTTCCCCTAACTGAATGAGAGCTCTGTGGAAGAAGAAATGTAGCATAGAATGATCCTGGGACCGTTCTGGAGTTTTCCAGCAGCTTGAGTTTTAGCTGCCAACCCATCAATCGACCTGAGCTGAAGCTGCCCTCACCTGGGATTCTGGGCATTGCAGTGGTAGATATACTCCGATATAGTATCATCGTCAAAGAAGTCTGCAAACTTGCGCTTGAAGTCTGGTCGGAATCGCTGTACCAGGCTGGGCCCTGGGAGGGGACAGAACGTGGAGAGGCCGATTTGAATAGGGAAGAAAGACTCCTGCTTTTGTATGTGTTAACAACTTTAACCAAACATTATTTCTCCTAAGGGTTTGTTTGCTTTGTACACTTAATGTTATAGTGGCAGACAGAGCATGCAAGTCTTTTGGGAAGCTCCAGGTGACTACAAATGAGAGTCAGTTAGTTGCCAAAGAATTTAGACAGTCTAATGTCACTGAGGAACCGGATTATCTGCAGCTCAATGAAGTCCCAAGATCTTTCTCTCCAAGGATCACAAGCCCCACAGGAGTCCATGGTTGAGATGCTTTGCTTTTACAGTCTGAGCTATGTTCTCTTTCTCCCCGAGACCCTTTATGGCCGTTTAATCTTCTGAAGGTAGTGGATGAAACCAGACCACCTCCCAAGAGCCCTCTCATGTTCAGGCCTGTGATAGAATACGAGTGAAGAGGTAAACCTAATGCTGGCATCTCAGACCTGGGGCACAGTTTTAGAGCAATCTGTTCCCTTCACCTTTCTTTAAATAGTACATATACAAGCAGTAGGGCACTTGAAACACACTGTAAAAATTGGGCCTAATGAATGATCAGCTTCTGGCCTCTCTCTTCTGGTCTGCTGTCTCTGTGTGAGAAGCAAGGGGTGAGAGGGAAGCAAAGCCGGGATCCCCTGGGCCCTGGTCCTCCTGCATGGCTACCAGCCAACCTCCCCAACCATAACAGCTCTGATGCCCATGCATGGACCTGGCCAGAGGCAAGTCCAGAAATGGGGAGAGTGGTTAGATCAGGGCTTCTCCCTGTGAAAGGATTATAGAAGGTCTGCTGGAGTGCACAGTGCTGGGTGCCCTAAGGTCAGCCCTCTGTGCATTTAGTGTCCTTTGGCACCTGTGTCTCTTGCTTTCCTTCCTTTCTCCCCAAACTCCTACCTTCTGCTCAAGTGCTCATTTTTCTCTTTTATCCAGAGCCATTCTGTTTCTCTTGAAAGGCCTAGAGAGACAACTCTTATTCAGCCATTAGCAATTAGTTCATCATAATTGACTATTGAACATTACTGTGTATATATAAGCCATCAGTGCAAAATAGATGGCCACCAATCTTTTCCATAAAGGGAATCTGCTTTTCGCTTTATCAGACTAAAAGCCTCCCCACATAGGGAGGGTACTAGCAGTGTGAGGTCAGAAGGCTGGGGCATATTGATCCCACTCACTCTGGCTGGCTCCCCCCTCCTTCCCTCCCTTCACTCACAGGATTTGCTGACAGCTACTAAGTGGTGAAGATGTGGTGTCTGACTGGGGCAGGAGCTTGCCTGCCACTGTGGGCTAGGCTGGAGGCTCTGGTCCTGACCTCTCCTGGCAACAGGTGCTAAGTGAGCTGCAGGGATGGGATCCAGCAGTGGTGACCACGCTGAAACACCAACAAGCTGCCATAAACATGTAGCACAGAAACTCAGCAGAGGAAGAGTCACCTCACGGCCCCATTCTCTCTGGGGCACAGAGTAGCAGTTCTGCTCCATCTGTCTCTTGCATGGAAAAGCTTTTTCCATGCAGATGAAGGGAAAAAAAGAACCTTCTGAAACTGCAGACAAAGACATCTGGTCCAGATTAATAGCTTTAAATAACAATGTTAGGCCTATTCCCACTTTTCATGAACAAGAGGGGATGGTGAGAGTCCAGGGGCAGTGGGGCTTCTAGAATGGGACAGCTGTGGTTTGAGGAGATAGTTTTCCATCTACAGGCTACTCACCCCAGGGCCCAGCTACTCGAAGAACAGCCAGTGGATTGGAACGCCCTAGGACAGAGGCCACAGCCTTGACCCAGGTCGGGGGTGCACGGATCTGACTGGGGTCAGTTGGTCGGAGGGGAAAGCCCCATGGGTCCACCAGGATGAGGTGTTTAACTCTAAAGGAGGAAAAAGGAGGAGTCAAGTTGTCTTTGCTTAAAGGTATCACAGCCCTTAAATCACCCAGGAAGAGAACTATTGGAAACAAATACCGGAAGTTTCCCAGCAGGTCGAGGAGTTGTCGTGATGGAGATGGGTGGCTCCCCCTTACCTGTCAGGGTACTTGATTGAGTAGGAAGTGGCCAGGAATCCTCCCAGACTGTGCCCCAGGAGGATCATACTGGGGATCCCCATGGTCTCCCGCCACGTCTCTATCGAGGTCACAAACTCTTCCTCGGCCCCCTCTGGGTCCCTCGGGAACGTTGGCCTAGAGCTTCGCCCAAAGCCGAGCAGATCGAAGGTGTGCAGAGTGCGGCGGGCGCTCAGTGAATCCATGTTGAGGATCCAGAGGCCCACGCCGCCCCCAAAGCCATGCACCATCACCAGGGGCGTGCGGTCCCTGAGCTCAGGGCTCACTGTCACCGTCCAGATCTTGTTCTGGTTTGGGAGGGACACATATCGGGCCAGGAACTTGTTCTGGAGGCCTGGGGAGAGGGGTCCAGGGCAGAGCGATAAGACTGTGTGCTGACAGCATCATCCTTTTGCTTGGACTCCCACTCCTCAGTTCTCTCTCATCCCCAAACCCTTCCTGACCTCCCTTGCCTTTCCTTTCACAACTCTCTGACCATACATCCTAAGAGTTCAACTCCAAGTACAATTTGTAGACCGTCTAGTCTGTAGGTATTAAGAGGGGCCATCTTATTCCTTGAGGCTGTTTGGGTCCCTTTGGGTCCACGGTGGCAGTGACCCCACTGACCCCACAGAGCTTCAGCATCTATCACTCTTGTACCTGTATGTGCTTGGGGCTTGACCCATGGACAGTAGTGTCCTCACTGAGGGTATCTGGGAGGGTTGAGCCAGGTCCCTCTTAGGGACAGACCAAGGTGGGCAATGCTTGCTCTGCTGGTGTGAAGGCCATCACATGACAGAGCTGCTGGGGTGGGGGGGAGGTCACCTGGATCCCAGACAGCTTGAAAGGCTTGAAAACTGTGGCTGTTCTGTGGTTGTACTTATCCCAGCCCATAAGAGAGAGGGTAGCCATGGCTGGGGCAGTGGCTATAGGGCGGGGAAGATCATATGAGGAATATGGGGAGATGTGGCCCAAGGATCTTGTTTGAGTCGGTGGCTGCTGATGTTCCTGGGATGCCTTAACCCCCACAGAACACTGCCCACTAGAGCTGGTCTGTGGGAATCCCCAACCACTCTGGTAACTGGATGGCAGGGTGGGGTGGGGGGGCGCTAATTGGGCAGAACACAAGGAATAGTAATATTAGAGAATACAAGACTGCTGGTCCTTGGGTAGGAAGATGGTAAATCTAAGAAGTGCTTGTGTGTTTGATGAGAAAGGGAGAGATGGCAAAAGAAAAGAATAGAAGGAAGAAGTAAAGGAGAGAATGTGTACATTTGTACATGTTGTATGTTAATAGCTGGTACAGGGTTTGAGGTGAAGTTGTGGGATGTGACAGAAACCAGCATGACGGACAGGGAGGGAGATGTCAAGGAACCACTATCATGGAATGTGTGTCCTCTGGGCAAATCTTTTCCCTCCAGTCACAGACATCCCTTCCTCCCACCCCAAGCACTGTCAATCAGGAATCAGTGGGCTCAGTGTGCCAGGCTCCGGGAAGATCCTCTATCCTGGGCCTCCCGAGGGAGGTGGGACGAGTGTCCCTTCTACTTACACTGGAGGATCCTGGCTTCCACATTCTTCAGCTGAGACATGGAAGTGGGGCGCCAAGTGGGCAGCCAGCTGCTCAGCCAGCCTTGAGGCCTGGGACAGGGAGACACAGAGACACTCACTGGCAAAGCTGGAAACACTGATGCTCTCAGCCTTGCTGGCAGTTAGTTGCAAAAGAGTTATCAGGGTGCAGGGTGTTTCCAGGCTCAGGAAACCTGCCCCTATGGCAGTCAGCAATTCCCTAGCTGCCTGATAGACTGTTACTCTTCTCTGGTAAATGGTTATTAACAACAACATGCCCTTTGTTTCAACAGATACTCAGAATACCATGTGCAGGACACTTCACAGTTTACAAAGCCCTTTCACATTTTTTTATCTCATTTGAGCTTTACAACTCCACTTTGTTACTGGTTATTATAATGTTCAAGGAGGTTACAAGGGGAAAAAAGCCAACTTTTAACTAATGTTTCAGTTCTCCTTTGCCATCCCTAGGACTGTATGTTCCTTTAGAGTAGGGCAAATTCCCATGCCACCTGCCCTCCTGGCAGGGCACCAAGGTTCGTGTGTGCCCTCTTCCAAGCCCCTGGAAGTACAGAGCACTGTGTCAGTGCCCAGTTGGGCTCTCAGGCAATCAATCAGTCCAGCCTTGAATGACATGATGGGACAGGCAGGGAGTAGGATGAGGGAGACCTGGGTTCAAGTCCTGCTGTGATTCCCTGACAGGACAAAGGTTGCCCTTGGCCTTGTTTCCAGTTTATAAAATGAGTAGAAAGCTCACACGTCATCACCTCCAGTGGCATGCAGTAAAACAGATAAGATAACCTATCTTGCTTTCTACTTTATACCCAGGGAACTTTAAGTCATTGCAGGGTAGAGGTTGAAAGTAGCAGTTGTGGAATAATTTTTAAAAACCCTGGATCTAGGGACTTCCCTGGTGGTACAGTAGTCTAGAATCCGCCTGCCAATGCAGGGGACACGGGATCGAGCCCTGGTCCAGGAAGATCCCACATGCCGGGGAGCAACTAAGCCCGTGCACCACAACTACTGGGCCTGCACTCTAGAGCCCGCGAGCCACATCTACTGAGCCCACGTGCCACAACTACTGAAGCCTGAGCACCTAGAGCCCGTGCTCTGCAACAAGAGAAGCCACTGCAATGAGAAGCCTGCACACCACAATGAAGAGTAGGCCCTGCTCGCCACAACTAGAGAAAGCCCACATGCAGCAACGAAGACCCAATGCAGCCAAAAACAAACAAACAAAAGCCCCAAAAAATGCTTTAGAAAAAAAAAAACACCCTGGATCTAAGTCACAGTAATATCATTTACAAGCAGAATGGTGTTGGCCTGTTAAATAACCTGTCTTTGAGCATCTAGATATGGAAGGGACCTCATAAGGTGCCTGGGACAAAACAGATGCTCAGTGAATGAGCTTTTATTATTCCTTTTCCATCCCATATGATATTTCTCTTTTCTTGAACTCTGTCTGGATGAAGTGGATTTCAGGATCCACACCACCAGTTACAGAAAGGGCCTGTAAACATCAGAACAGTCAAGCAGGGGCATTCTGCGGGGGAGCGAGGGGAACTATTACCAACCCCCCCCTTGGCACACATTGGGCATCTTGCTACATCGTTTGAAGCGCAGAATTTTAGATTAGAATAGTTCCTTAGAAATCTAGTCCAGCCTCTTTATTTTACAGATGAGCAAAGTGATGCCCAAAGAGGTTATACAGCTAGTTAGAAAAAGAAGCAGAACTAGAACCTGGATCTCAAATCCAGGTTTCGCCTTATTTTTTCAAGGCCACACACGAATGCTCACATTATACAAGCACAGTTTCACATTTGTCTGTTTTCTGAAAGGAGGTGTGACCTAAGGCCAGAGGCTGAAGTTCTAATCCTGGCATTGCCACTCACCAGCAATGTGTCTTTGGACACATTATTTAGCCTTCCCTGTCAGTTTCCTCATCTTTAAAGGGAGGTAATAATAGTATCTACCTCATAGGGTTGTCATAAAGATCAAATGAATGAATGCACAGAGACATCACACTAGCACAAGATAAACTCCCAATAAATGTTCTTTTCCCCAGCTAAATCATAAGCTATCTGTATTCCCAGTGTTTTGCAAGTAGCAAATCTTAGTGACTGAGGTTTGAAAGAAATACTGAGGTTGCGGCTGAAACTGGTCCATCAATGGCTTTAGCCAGATGAGAGCTGTCACTCTCAATCAATGCAGTCCTAAAAAGACTCAGAACCCTTTGAATATTCCACTGGAATTCCTTATAGGCTAGAAGCACGGGCACCAAGACCACAGAATGTTGCCAGTCTTAAGAGACAAACCTTCTCTCCACCCCACAGAGACTGTGACAAGTCAGGGCATGTCATCTGGACCCCACATTGCCTTATATCTGCCCAAAGCAGCACTCAGGAGAAATGTTGTTCCAAGGAACGGCATCAAGGGCTGCTCTGCAGAGATACTCTTCAGGGAGAGCTTTTCCTCTCCACCAAAAATGCTACTGGTAAAGCACTGGAAATAGTCCCTGGCACACTATCTGCTCCATACCACTGGGGAGATGAGGACTGAGCTGGGGAATTCAGGCAAGAAGCAGAGCAGCCACTTAGCCATGAACTTAGCCGGCTGGGGTTGTCTCTTCCCTTTAGGGTGCCTTTATCCTGAAGGTGGGTGAGGCAGAAGGGATTTTGTGCTGGGTGAGAAGACTGTTCTAGACCTCTGTGATCTTGAGATCTCCTAACTTCTTTGGGCACTGGATTCTTCATTTGTAAAAAGGAACTGATCTACCTGAATCTCTACCAGCTCTAATATTCGATTTCTCTAAGTCATCGTAGCTATTGTAAATCTCCTCTTGGAAGCATCATTTTGGAAAAACACCACTCTCCTGGGCAGTTCCTTCAAGTCCAGGAAGGTATTATTGTCATAATGTTAATTAGTTTTGCAAACAGCTCTGAAAAGGGGGAAACAAGGGGGAACACGGGATCCAGGAAAGGCCCAGTTTTGGTGAACACGCCCCCCCGACCCCCCCCCCCCCCCCGCCCGCATCGGCAGGGGGGGGGGCGACCCCCCCCCCCCCCCCCCCGGCACCCCGCTTGGCTGGAAGCTGAGTCATTCTCCAAGCAACTTTTCCTTGCTCCTATTAGACTGTGAACTGCTTGTCACACCACCTACAGGTGGCATCCAAACTTGATGTCCTTGAGACGGTGTTAACAAATTCCAAAAGCTCTAATTCTGAAACCGCAGCATTAAGGATATTGTTATGATGATTAAAAACTATCAACAAGGATTGCCAGCGACTAAGCGTCTCGGTTGGCGAGAGCGAAAGAAACTTGCAAGCCTATTAACCCAGACCAATCCCAGCGCAGTGGAGCCCGCTCTCCGCTTGCCACGCCTTACCCGTGCTGGGCTGGGCTAAGCGAGGCTCTTCCCACACCCCTGCCTCACGACCTGGAGCAAATCCAGACGAGCAGACCTGGCTGTTACCCCCGCACCCGCGTCCACACGCTTGCTTTGGGGGAATCTGAGACATCACCACTAAATCTAATCCCAGGGTACATAGACTAGAGGGGAGCAAGGAATGAAGGCGAACACTAAAGTGGAAAGTCAGAACCGCTGGGCTGTAGAAATCGTTCTCTTCCATTGCTCCCCTGGCTCTGCTGCCGCATCTTCTGGGCAAAAGGAAAGCAACCAGACGCAACCCCCCAACCCTCCCCTGAAGCCGACCTGAAAAAGGAAAGTCTGGAAGGTGTCTAAAACTGTTCCTCAGCCACAGACAGTCCCAGGTTCATGGCCCAGAGATAGAGATAGAGAAAGAGACAGGATTAACTCACTGCTGCTCCAGATCATCAGCCATAGTAAACAAGCCCTGCCGGGTCGAGCTGAGCCAGCCCATCCCTCCGCCTGACGCCAGCACCAGCTGACCCAGAAAAGGGTAGGATAGCAAAGTGGGGCGTGGCCAGCGCCGCGAACGGGGAGGAGGGGCCCCAGGACGCGGGCTGGGGCTCTGAACCCAGCCGGCTGGGACAGCTGGGACACATGAGATGTCTCCGAGAGCGTCACAGAATAGGACAGTAGTTCTGGTCATACATTTGGGGACAGTGAGGGAGATAAGTAGTACTGAAACTACCGAGTCCCGCACAGGAGCTCCATCAAACCTCTACTCTGATAATTAAAAAGTGACTTAACTACCCCTGCACGCTCCCACACACCCACGGGGCTTCCCTATTATAGCCACCCCACGCCCTCAAGTCCACCCCTTAGTGTTCCTTCTAATCAGATGCTCAAGATGTTTGTGGAGACACTACCAACCGTTGAACACTCCTACAAAGGGTCTGAGAGACTGTTGCCCAAGTAGACTACCAAATTTCGTAAATAAAACCCAGAACGTGGGCTTCCCTGGTGGCGCAGTGGTTGAGAGTCCGCCTGCCGATGTAGGGGACACGGGTTCGTGCCCCGGTCCGGGAAGATCCCACATGCCGCGGAGCGGCTGGGCCCGTGAGCCATGGCCGCTGAGCCTGCGCTTCCGGAGCCTGTGCTCCGCAACGGGAGAGGCCACAACAGTGAGAGGCCCGCGTACCGGAAAACAAACAAACAAACAAACCCAGGACGCCTAGTTAAAGTTGAACTGCAGATAAACAGCAAATACTTTTTTTGGAGTAAGCATGTCCCATGCAATATTTAGGACATAAATGGACATCCTGTACTTTATCTGGCCACCCTAAACCTAAGCCACACATGCCAAGATGAGCATTCCTCTGATCTGGGGTTGTCTTTGGCCCCAGCCTGGTTCCCAGGGACAAGGTGACTCAACCCCAGGTCTCCGTCAGTTTGGGATCCCTGCCTCCCCTTCCCCAGGGGGAGCAGTTGAAGGACTAGCCTACATAGGTGGGTCCGCTTTAGGTAGCTGGGATGGGGGCTGGAGAGAGAGAGGTCCTGATTGGCTTGCTCAGCAGAGGAGTCAGATCTTAAGGCTGACTCCAGAACTTACCTGAACTGGTAAACAGGGCCTGATGTCCCTGGGGTGGTCATCCTCTTGATTAGGTTAAAACCAGACTAGAGATAGTGGATGGTGGGTGGGAGAATGCTGGTGGTAGGTGTTTGTCAAGGTGGTTTGTTTGTTTTTTTAGCCTTCCTGCAGCACTCAGGAGATCCTGAGATTTCTTCTTTCTTGTAACACAGTGTTAAACTGATCTGATTAGCATTACAAGGGATTGAAGTTTAAGAGAAAAGACATTTATAGACTTTAGGGGTCTAGGAATTTTTAAGATGTGGGGCAAAGTAGTGCAAATAGCAGAGGACCCGTCTCTCATTCATTCTTACAACAAAGCAGAGTGGTCCTAAACTTCAGGGTGCATTACAATCATCTGGCTGGCTTGTTAAAATTTCAGGTTTCCAAATCCCTACCCGCTGAGATTCTAAAAGCTTTGGTTTGGTTTGATGCTAAAAGCTGCAATTTTAGGAAGCACTTCAGATGCTGAAGTTCAGTGAATTCTGGGTGCAGGTCAGTTTTGGTTTTACCACTTCTGTACTGCATGCTTGTGGGTAAGTTATTTAGCATCTCTTTAATTTTCTTCTTCTGTCTTGTGTCTTGTAAGAATTAACCAGGATCATTCAAATAAACATTTAGTACATTTGTTTATGCCAAAAAGTTACCATTATTATTATTATATACATACCTATTCAAAGCCAAGCATTATGTTAGGCACTAAGAACACCATTATCAAAAGTAAAGAAACACAGGGAATTCCCTGGCAGTCCAGTGTTAGGACTCTGAGCTTTCACTACAGAGGGCCCGGATTCAATCCCTGGTCGGGAAACTAAGATCCCACAGGCCGCGCAACGTGGTCAAAAAAAAAAAAAAAAAAAAAAAAAAAAAAAAAAAGTAAAGAAACAGGCTGCTCTAGTGGTAAACATAGGCTTTCTATCTTTTGCCACCCTAGGCTATTTGTCCCTTTGCAGAGTTGGCAACTTTGTTTTGGGAGCTCAGCTCAAAACCTCCCCTCTTCTGAGGCCTTTGCTGTGACAACAGGGTCTAAAAGAGATGCCTAGTCACTCTATCATATTACTCTATTTTATTAAATTATTGTGCATATTTGTGGACTCATTTATTATCATTTTCCCTCCACTAGAGCCCAAGTTTCCTGAAGGACCTTGTCTTGTTCTCAGCTTTGTTGCCAGCCCCTAGGACAGAGTGTGGCACAGAGTACACAGTCAGTCCTTACTAGAGAAAGAAATGGCTGAAAAGTCTAGTGAGGAGGTATATGTATAAACAAGTACTTAAAAAACAATGTACTGTTATGGAACGGGAATGTTGCCTGTCATTCTAGTAAACAAAGAATGTTGCCCGCCATCAAGCCACCAGCCGGTGCGGTATCCCCCTGCACACTCCCACCCACCCCATGGTGCGCCCTGAGGGGAAGTCAGGACGGAGAGAAACAGGAAACATTCTGTGCTCTGGATACTGGCCCTAGATAGTTAAGATGCATAACTAAGGAATAATTTCAGTGAGCCCCAGATGTTTGCATCTTCCCCATACACAGTAAAGCACTAAAATTAAGTTGAGATGTCTGTTTTTTGTGATAAGCAGTAATATTTCCATGTTCGACTATGTTTTTGTTTTTGTTTTTTTTAAAGCAAAAACTGTATATCCTGGCTCCTCTTCGGAGCAGTTCCTTAGAGCTATCTGAGAGGCTGTCTACCAGGCTACAGTCCTCAATAAGGTCCCCAAATAAAACTTAACTCTCAACTTTTAGTTCGTGCATTTTTCTCTGATCATCAGTGTCAAGGGCTTTTGGAAGCTATACCATATAGGAAATTCCAGGCTACATCACTCCGAGACAGGGCAACAAAATCTCCCACTTTTCTGAAAACCTGTAAGATGTAGCTCTTTTTGGGGCAAGGATGACCTGGCTGGAACTGGTATTAGATCTCTCTAGACCTCATCTCTTGTGGCAGTGCACAGAAGCATTTGTATTTTGTTTCTGTGTGCCAACCCAGCTCTACAGTAGAGGTTGGAGAGAAGTAGGAAACTTGAACATACGGAAAATGCCTTTTATAACCAAAGTTAATAGATCCCTTAAGGCGTCCCTGTTATTGAGCTGAACTTGTGTCTGCTCACCACACAGCAAAGCTAATTTACTGACACTGGGTTGTAGTGAAGGAAAGTATGGTAGTTATTGCAGGGCCCGGCCAGGAGTACAAGTGGCTTGTGCTCAAAAGACCCGAAATCCCCAATGGCTTTCAGGAAAGGGTTATTATTTTTTCTTTTTTTAAAAAAATTATTTATTTATTAAAAAATTTTTAATCAAAGCTTTTTTATTGACGTATAGTTGATTTACAGTGCTGTGTTAATTTCTGCTGTACAGCAAAGTGATTCAGTTATACATACATATATATATATATTCTTAAATGCAACATTTGAAGTTAGGGTTGCAAGGGGCATGACTTCTGATTGGTTGGTGGTGAGGTAACAGAGTGGTGTTTCAGGAATTTTAATCATCAACCTTCTGGTTCTAACTAGTCTGGGGTCTATGTGCTCGTGCTCAGTATAGAGCCACCATACTCCACCTGGGTGGGGATGTTAGTTTCTACAGAACAACTCAAAGATATATGTCAGATCATTATGCATATCCTTTGAGGAGGAACTTAGGCTGGCTTATCATTGAACAATTGTTTCTTGACTGCTTTGCCTCTGTTTCTGTGTTCCTTCATCTCCCTAATTAGTAACTGCTCAAGTCTGCTCTTTGGCACTCAGGGAAGGCCTAGGAGACCAAAGCCTTTTTCTACAAATAAGAAACAGGGGACACAGAGGGGCTTTTGTACCAGGGAGAGTCCTGCAGGGTTCTGCTTAGTTTCATCCCCAGAGCTGGGATATCTCAGGATTAGGCTGGATCTGTTAGAATTATAGAGTGGAGAAGACTCTCAGGCCTGCTCTAGGCAGGCCTCTGAGGAGAAGTGTAAGGTTCTTATTTCTCCTTAGCTTCAAGGTAAGATACACTAGGTGCAAGTGTATCTTGTACCTCCAACATATGTGATTTTGTAACCGGGAAGAGCTAAATCTGACTACATGTTTCTTTTTCTTTAACCTTTGATTACTGTTGCTTTTGTTCACTAAAAGGATACTGTCTATACACAATGGCCTGCCTCAGGGAACCCTGCCTTTCTGCCTGAACCAAAGTGCCTTTGTTCAGGGAAACATCCTGACCCTGTCCACCTGTGGATGGCTGCAAGAAAGAAGAAATTAACACAACCCCTCCCCAAGGCTGGCCATTCCAGGGGACATTGCAAATCTTATGGCCTTTTTACTTTACTCCCTCATCTCCTCCCCCTCTCTGTTCTATAAAAGGAACTGGCATCCAAACCCCATAAGATGGTTTTTCAGACAGACACACCAGTCTGCCATTTTCTCAGTCTGCCGGCTTTCTGAATAAAGTCGTATCGTATCCCTTGCCTCAACACCTCTCTCCGATTTATTGGCCTGTCGTGCAGCAAGCAGAGCGAGCTTGGACTCAGTAACAATTTTACATATGATTTTATGTGTGATTAAAGTATTAATATGGTCTTTATGGATGGAAACTAATTTTAACAAACCCTCTTGTCGTGGTCTGAACGCGGGCTGGAAGAGAATTTCCAGACACAGGTAGAATGTAAAGAAGATAGAATTTATTAGAGGGAAGGGTCGCTGCCAGAACAGCAGGCCGACTTCCTGGTAGTCTGGGAGAGTCGAGCCTGAACACATGCTATTGATCAGTTTTTATAGCCAGAAACAAAGGAATGGTCTGAGGTGGGAATTTTGTTTACTGATGGTTGAGGCACATATACCTTCCTTCTATAGGGTGGGAGTGAGACAGGGAAGATGCCTTTCCTTATTTGGAACAGGTGGGCTCAGAAATT